CCGCAACCGTCCCAACTTGTCAGCTCCTAGCATATTCAACACATCTGGAGCTTCACCCAAGACGGATCCCCCAGCACTGCCAGGGCTCTGACACATCTGAGATGCAAAGGGCGGAGGAGGGATGAAAAAGTCCATCAGAGTAAGGAGAAAGTGGGCGTGGGATATAGCTCAGTGGAAAACACTTGCCTAGCATGAGAGAGACCCTGGGTTTGAAGGAAAGGAATGAGCACTATGGAGGGTTTATCTTCTTAACTGAATGGTGGAGACTCAAACTACAAAGCAAGTATTTGCCTCAGGTCACTAGAACTCGGATTTGAAAGGATCCTGACTACTAAGCTCTCTTTGTAGGAGTCAAGAAAGGGACTTGGGTGAGAGGCGAGGTAAGGGCATGAGGTCCAGGGCAGTTCACAGAAGTCAGAGAACACTTGTCCACCAAGTTTGAACTACAAGAGTAGAAATCCTTTTAAATTTGCAGCCAGAATCAACTAGGTTGTCTAGCTGGTCCAGAGTGCCAGCCTTGATTTAGCTGCCCCATACCTTTTGGCTCCCGCTGCAGCTATTACCTGGAGAAGCTGTTTTTGGAAAAGCCGGACAAAGTGGCTGTGGCTGCAGGCTGCTGAAAGCTGACCCATCATGGCTCTGAGGAGTAAGAGGCAGATACACAGTGGATGGGAAGGAGATAGATGACGTACTCCAGCTGTTTACTGAAGTCTTGAATAGCCCTTTGCCAGGAAGCCCACACAGGAGAAAGTAAGACATGTTCCCTTCGCCACCAAGATTCCTCCAGGCTAGACAGATTTAACCCACCAAGAAATACCCTCTCAGATCTTCAGGCCATGCTCAGTGCCAGTGAACATTGTGATCAACATGAGAGGGAGATAAGGAGAGAGGGTACTTAGTCAACAGCCTAGTCATCTACCTGTGCAGTCTAGATCTATGAGCTTTGTCCTTTCTCAAGCACGTGCCATTACAGAACAAGTACAGAGCATTCCTGGGCATGAGAAGCTAGAGAGAGAAATCCTTTTTGATCTAGGTAGAGTTACCAATAACTAGAGACTGAGGAAGACAGAGGACTGGAAGGAGGGCAGACCTTCCCAACAAGCACCCTAAATATCATTGGGCTGCTGTTCATTGTCAGAGCAAGGAGACAAACTGAGCAAGGGCAGAACACCTACCTGATCCTGCTACCCAAGCCCTTCTCAAAATCCCAGCTGGGCTCCTCATGGTGATCTTCCCACTCTCGAAGTACCTCATAGAACACATCCCTAAAAGATATGCAAGCTTGATCAGCTGAATCCCAGTTGCCTTTCACCCACTTCCCATTGCACTTTCCCTTGCTTGGAAGGTTTACGATAGGCCTACCCACAGCCCATCCTTAACCTCCATAGTTCTCTACATGATGGTATGTTACAGACCCAGCTGCAGCACATCACAGGCATCTGTGGACAGGGAAAGTTGACCCTAAGATGGTTGGCTAAGCTCAGGGATTCAGGTCTGTGGACATGAAACAGAATGAAGCCAACAGGCTTTATGATGACTGTCAGCCAAGGCCTGACAGTCCTAACCCACCACTTTTCGTGCCTAAGTCCTAATTCTATGACAGAAACATGGCTGTCTATTCCCTCCTCAATAAGTCCCCTTTCTTTTCACCTCTGTTTTTTAAAAGTATGAAAGGCTCGATCACTGGAGAAGTTGGCACGATTGTCAGTTTCTGGCTGAAAGGAGACAGCTTGAGCAGAGGGTGGTATCACCAGAGAGACCTAAAATATGGCAACAACATTAGGAAATAAGAATCCTATTATAAGACTTTACTCCTGCTAGGCATTAATGGCCCACGCCTTTAATCCCAGCACTCAGGAGGCAGAGGCAGGAGGATCTCTGTGAGTTCAAGGCCAGCCTGGGCTATAGAGTGAGATCCAGGAAAGGCACCAAAGCTACACAGAGAAACCCTGTCTCGAAAAAACAGAAAAACAAACAAACAAAAAAACTTTACTCCTTATTCTTGTCCAGAGTCAGCCCAACTGACAGCACCATGAAGATGGTCTGAATTTACAAAATGTCTAGGCTACTAGGTACCAAGTGGGGGTGACTACCTTGGCAACACTGCCTTCATAAGCAGCTCGAAGGCGGCCCTGTAGAGCTGGGGAGAAGCACAGCAGCCGCTCATTCTCAGCCAGCAGCTTCAAGGTCCCTTTGTCCAGGTAGGACAGAACCCTGCAAAGACAGGAGCATGTATGACGGACTGGAACCCAGGCTGCACGCACAAAGCACATCCCAAGCACAAGGCAGTGGGTGTTTAAGCCTAAGTATGTACGGCAAGGTGACAGACTAAGGATTAAGATGAGGAAGGTAAAGGGTGAAGAATGAGACCTCATGGAGCCGAGATCAAAACAGCAAGCTAGGAACATTAGCCATAAACATAAAAGTCAGCCGCCACGTCTAATTATTATTACTAGTATTTGTGGTATACAGGGCTCTCCACATGGCTGGCAAGCGCTCCACTGATCTATACTCTTAGGCCCTGTTGTATTTAGTATTTGGGACTACATCTCACTAAGTTTCTACAGCCTGAGCAGGTCTTTAAACTTGTAGTCCTTGCTTGGCACCAGACCCAGCTATTTAATTGGTTTAGGGGAGAAACTCATAGCCTTGACACAAAATTAATGCTGGAAGTGCCTTCAGTCCCAGCACTTGAGAGGCAGAGGCTGGCAAATCTATGCAGGTTCAAGGCCAGCTTGGTCTACATAGGGAGTACAAGGCCAGCCAAGGGCTACGTAGTAAGACCCTTGTCTCAGAAGAAATCAACCAACCAACCAATAAGGTGAAAAAGGTCTAGGGACACTGTATCTGTGTTAAGCACAATCATGCATCCCAAATGGCTGGAAGCAGACAGATAATGAGACTAAGCATGATGCCTCGGAAAGGAAAACTCACTGGAACTGATGCTCTAAAACCTGCACTGCAAAGAAGACACAATCATGGATGCTCTGAAACAGGGGAGTTTCCAGCGGATCTAGGACAGTAACAAATGGTTAGTTAAGAACCATCCCACCTGCAAACGTCATTTCTTAAAATGAGACTTGCTTACTAACCTAGGGCACCCTGATTTGATTCAAGGTCACTAGCCTTGGTGGCCACCATTCTCCGGGCAGTCAGGAGCTGAAGGACGAAGAAGAGCTCCAAAAAGAGGTTTGGTACCAGGTTCTCTGGATATTAAAAAACAAAAACAAAAACATAACCTTGGGCACCACCGACAACCAAGGCTCTACGTGCCTCATCCCGTCTCTCACCCTGTGGCTGGCCAGCATATCCACTGCGGCTCCCTTTGCTCTCACTCACCAGCAATGCACGAAGAGTAGATAAGGGCTACCAGCTCCAGGCGCTGTCGAGAAGACACTCGGGCTGGGTCAGCAGGTTCTGCTGTGAGACTTCCTGTCCGACTGGGGACAGGAGACCCCGATTCTGGGATGGGACAGGCTGGGGTAGGTGACTGCTGCAGCTGCTTGGAGCTATGCGAACAGAGATATGTCATGATTACTCAGCCTGGCTTTCCTGTGACATTCACACTCAGGTACTGCCAAGAAGACATCAAGAGCCCAGGAAGCAAACCCAGAGTCCCCACGGGAGAAATCAAGTTCAGGAAAAATCCCTGCAAGTCCCGCACAAGGAGGAAGCTGACATCCCAGGTGGCGGCAAAGCCATACCGCGCCTTCCTGAGCATCTCCCGCTCCTCTTGCAGACTTCTGCACCCTGGGGGAAGGCCAAGGCCCCAAGGGCTAGTGTCCAGGGCTGAGGGTTGGGAACTGGGGACACAGCTGATTGGGGGTGAGGTGAAGCAGGTCTTGGGCTTGGAAAGCGATCGCTCTTCGCTCACCGGAGTTGGGTTGATCCTTCGAGAAGGCTTCGTCCTGCTGAGGGTAGTCACAGGTTTTTCTCAAATTTCTATCTTCAAGCATCACTCCAAACCACAACAGCTGGGCCCCTTTCAACCCCCCACCCGGCGCCCCTCCCACTGTGGTGTCCTCACCACCAGCCTTCTAACCACCGCGCGCCCCGCTGTGGGGCGCAGAGCCCTGCTTTAGCGAACGTCTTCCCCTAGGGCAATTCTCACCCTGCAGGGCCGGGAGGAACGGTGCCTACGGGAGGGAACTCCTCCAAGTTGCTGAGGTTTGGCGGATCCGAGAGCGAGAGTCTGGGGCTGCCGGGGCTGCCTGAGCCCCTAGGCTTCCGGCCTCCGGCCCAGGGCGGGCTCTCTCCACTGGTCCCCTCCTCCGGGCCCCCGGGGCCGCGACCTCCTCCTCGTTCGCGGGACGGCCCCGGCCCCG